TTTATTATATATATATATATAGCCTGTATATATATATACCCTCATTGAGCCCCCTAAAATGAATCACCCCTGGACTGAAATTCTACCCTTGTCCAAATACCCACACTTGTAGTCTTGGCCACTTGAGAGCACATGCTCGCAACAGAAAGTAAGTGCGCAAGACTGTCCTAAAGTCTTCAAAACACTAAAGCGCAGTGCCCTTAAAGCACACCGCTCCGGAGCACTATTCGAGGCTTAGTGTATCCCATCATGCATCATGTTCTAGAAATAAATCGTGAGACTTTTTGCCGAGATCTCGCGAGAGGTCACGGAAACCTTTCCAATGTAAGTTAAATATTAATACAATAGGCTAATTAGATATTATATAATTTGGTAGAAAAACAAAGTGTTGCACGTTTTATTGGTGCAATGATGAGTAGTGGTGATATTTATTTTGTACAACATTTGCAACCGCTTTTTATCACTTAATTAGAAGCACCAAAATTAAATTGTCATGTTATAGGGAATACTGAACAGACTTTTATAAGTTGATTTTAAAATGCAAAGTATTTAAAATAAAAATAAAGCTATGTAAACACTTGCATTTTTTCAACACTATAAGTGTGTCCCATCAAGTAATGAAAAGTTCGACGCACACTTGTGGTCTTTATCCTCACTTGGACACTTGGGGCAAATACAAGAAATACGTCATATAAGTAGTCAAGTGGTTAAGTGTGGGTATTTGGACAAAGCATCAGTGACGGCAAGGCTGTAATGTGATTGGTTATTACAGCACACGTGATCCAAGTTAGCCGTTATGCTTTCTCCAATAGTAAGACAGACCCTCTCATCTCCCTATAGTAAGACAATGTCTTTCGGAGTCGTGAATCAGACATGTGAATGAAATTAAATTATATTCCAGTTATAAACGTGCTTCTGATTACAGATAGCCTGGGATTACACAAGATTTGTATTTTAAAGAAAACCAGTTCAAAGGGAGCATAATTTGCTTTTTGGGTTAAAAGAATTTCTTAATATGAAATTTGAATGGTATGACAATTAGATTAGACTGTACAGAAATTGAAATCTACACGCTTATACACACTATACTCACATAGTCACGTAATGCTGATGTTGTTAACATTAACAATTTGAGAATAAAGTATAACAATAATAATAATTTGCACGGTTTGATGTAATATGAGCTAATCGATCTTTAGATTAAATCACCATTGTTAGCAAGATTTATGGTAATGCTTTTTTCCTCAGTTGGTCAGAATAAACATGGCAGACTTGTTACTTGTTCAGATGACAATATCTGGTGAAAATGCTTATTTGAGTAATATATTCCAAGACGTAGGCTAGAATCTGTGATTGCGAAGTACAGTGAATATCCACACCGGTGTGGTGACTGACTGCCACACATACTCCTCAAAACATTAGATTCATCGGCGCTAGAGCCGTGCCGACTCACAACCCATGCAAGCTAGATAATTCCGCAGCCAGCACAACCCACGCAATGAAGATAATTCCACACACAGCTGCAATTGCAGGTTTTCAAACAGAGATGGCGACAAAGAGGCAAAACTTACAGACTGCAGCTTTAACAAAAGTAGATTTCTCATGATCGTGACTTCATTTCCGTGATCTCAACAAAAGTTGTTTTTTTTTAGTTATCACAATAAACATTTTTCGCAATCTCGACATAACAAAAATTTTCTCATAATCAAAACATAAAGTTGTTTTTCGTGTGATCTCGACATAATAAAAGTTGTTTTTTCATTATCACAATTTAATTTTTTTTCAGAATGTCAACATAAAAGTTTTCTCGTAATCTCAGCATAATAAAAATTGTTTTCGCGTGATTATGACTTAACAAAAGTTGGTTTCTCCTTATCACAATTTAAATTTTTAGGAATCTCAACATAAACGTTTTCTCGTAATCTTAACATAACTAAAGTTGCTTTTGCTTGATTATGACTTAAAAGTTGGTTTCTCATTATCATTATTATCTCGACTGGCAGCCATATCACCCTGTAGCCCAAGACTGGTTACCCACTGAAGCTAAGCAGGGCTGAGCCTGGTCAGTACCTGGATGGGAGACCTCCTGGGAAAACTAGGTTGCTGCTGGAAGAGGTGTT